AAAATTTTAAGAGAAAACAACTTAAGGAAAAATGACGAGAAAAAAATTAAGTACTTAATCTTGATACCCTTAAGCACCGAAACAAACAAACAAATAAACAAAACTGATGCCCTAAAACACATTTGGGCAGTTTCTTAAAAAGTTAAACATAAATAAATCTGCAACTATTTTGTTTGCCCTTTAACATGTTTTTTGAAATTTTACATAAAGTGGTTTTCTTTAAAGTGAAACATATGTCCACACAAAGCCATGCACGTGGATGTCTGCAGGGGCATCGTTCAGAATAGCCCCAAACTGGAAACAGGTCAAAAGCCCATCAACTGCTGAATGGGTAAGCACAGTGTGGTGTGAGGCTGTACAATGGGCCACCATTCAACAATCAAAAGAACAAACTACTGACACATGCTATGACGTGGATGGACCGTGAAAACACGTGACGTGAAAGCAGCCACACTCAAAAGACCATGTGCTACATGCATTTATGCCGCATCATATCCATTTACGTGCAATTTCCAGAAACTACAGATTCATAGGGTCAGAAGGCAGATCGGTGGCTGCCGTAGGGCTGGGAGCCGGAGCAGGGTGCACTGGAAACAGACACGGGGAACGCTGTAGGGTGATCAAGGTCGGGATGACGGTGATGGCTGCACCACTCTGTAAACTTACTAAAATCAATGAGTTGTGTATTTTCAGTGGGTGACGTTTAAGGTGTGCATATTGTACCTTAATAAAGTTGTTGTAAAAACAAAACAAAGATGCTGGTGGCAAATCGTTCTGATAGCATGAGAGGAAATGAAGGTGATATCCCCTAGCAAAGTGCAAGTGTCGTTGCAATAAAATAACCCGTACGACTTTACCTATGTTCACTTTTCTTTCTTTCTTTCTTTCTTTCTTTCTTTTTTTTTTTTATAAGCTTTTAATCTATTTTGAGAGAGAGAGAGAGACAGAGCACAAGCCAGGGAGGGGCAGAGAGAAGGAGAGACAGAATCCCAAGCAGGCTCCATGCCATCAGTGCAGAGCCTGATGCAGGGCTCGAACCCATGAACCATGAGATCAAGACCTGAACCGAGATCAAGAGTCAGATGGTCAACTGCACTGCCCAGGCGCCCCTACCTACGTTCACTCTTTGAGCCTGTCCAGTTCTAAAATCGAACAGTAGTCAGCTTTAACTGGGCAATCACAATCCTAGGAGGATAGCGCTAGCATCATCCCCATTTTACAGATGAGAACACAGGATCAGAATAGGAAAGCACCTCACTCAAGGACCCACAGCTGCCAGTGGGAGAGCTGGGACTGGAACCCAGGCTGATTCTGGAATCTGTGTCCTTCACCCCTGTGCCCTATCCCCTCCCCCACTCTCTGTTCCCCTCCCCCAGTTATTTACATCCCCAGTGACTCTTTGGCCCTAGAAGAAAAGCACAGAGCTGCTTGGGCAAGCCGAGCCAGGATGCTAACCTTCCTCAGTTCACTGTAGCGAATACAACCTTTCATACGGGTCTCCAGGGTCAATGTTCCCAGGAGCCCCCTCACCACTCTAAGCAAGAAAGGCCCCAATTTACAGAAGCCACACATTTGGTCAAGCAACACTGAGCAGGCACTAGCATCGGTTTCCATCTGGAGCTCATGGATCCTAAAGCCTGTCTGCACGTCCTGGGGTTCAGCAAATACGAGCCAACAATCAGGGGCAGAGGTGACCTCAGGTTCAGCTGCAGGCCGGCCCGCATGGATTTCCTGCGTGAGCTTTTCATCGGTGCTGCAAGTTTCCAGGGAGTGTTTCACGGGGGCCTTCCGATGGCACCCCGGCTGCCCCGCACACCGGCACACCCAGACCTGGCGGGGAGCTGGCAGCGGCCTCCTGATCTCTGGTCCGTGGCAGACAGAGCTCATCGCTCCCCTCCCTCTTGATGTAGCACCAACTGTCCTGCTTCTTCTAGGCAGAGGCACCAGGGGGCCACGCAGCAGCTTGAGTTTCCCAAAGGCTGCCCGGCGAGGCCGAGGAGGCCTGGGAATGCTCATGTCACCGGAGGGAGTGGACTCCCCCACCCCCCATGCCTTCTCTGCGATAGGCCCAGGCCCTGGGTGCAGCCAGACAGAGCGTCTGCTCTCCCCTCACGCCCTCCCCACCACGCACGCCAGTCTGCTGCCGCATCGGGTCTGCGGATACTGTCCTCTCTCCTCGGAACGCTGTGCCCCACTTACCAGTCTTGTCCCCCCTTGCCTTCTTCAAGTCTTTGCTCAAATGCCACCTTCTCAGTGAGGGTTCCCCCAGCTACCCCATTGAAAAATTATAACTCCCGAGGGTGCCTGGGTGGCTCCGACGGTTGAGCGTCCGACCCGACTTTAGCGCCTGTCATGACCTCACGGTTCGTGAGTTCGAGCTCTGCATCGGGCTCTGTGCTGACAGCTCAGAGCCTGGAGCCTGCTCCAGATTCTGTGTCTCCCTCTCTTCCCGTCCCCTGCTCACACTGTCTCCCCTACAACTCAAAAATAAATAAACATGAAAAAAATTTTTAAAAAATAGTAACTACTGATCCCAGCTTTATTTCTCTCCATTGCACCTATCACCATCTGACACATTGTGTTTGACTCATTTGTCCATCTCCCCCAGCAGAGGGAAGGGGGTGCGGCGTACCTAATTCTCTCGCCGCAGTGCCTACAACCAAGCCTGACTAAATAGCAATCCAGATCTTGTGAAAGAATAAACTCCCCACCAGGGCCAGGCCAGCGAATAGCATCTCTGTAGCTACCACCCAATGCCAGAGATGCCACGGAAGCTTTTGTCAGAGACCAGCTGGTGCTTCTCAGCCACTCAGAGGTGACAGGAGCCAGTCTAGGGGACACTGGAGAGGAGCCAGTCACCGTGCCTCATGAAGGAGGCAGCGTCACCAGGACCCGCTCCGCGCGTCCCGGACACGCCTGCAGAAAACCACACTGTGGGTACCTGTAGACACTGGTCCATTCTGTCACACCTCTTGAGCCCTCTTCTAGGGAGACTGGGCTGGGCGACACTGCTGGTTGGAACATAAGGAAGGTATCTCAGAAGTCGAGTAAGAACTAGGTCGCTCCCCAGGAACCCTCAAATGCTGTGTGAAGGATGAAGCCGACAGGAGGCTTGACCACATGTGTCCTCTCAGCGGGGCTTAGCCCATGTGACTTAGAGCTGTTCCCCACCCAGGTCTACTGGCTGCATCTGTGCCTTCCTGGGGCCAGGACTCTGGAGCTCAGTCGTGTGCAGAAGTGGAAAGAATGGATGCCTGGGGTGGGGGAGTGGGGGGGTGGGGCTCGGTGGCAGGTACCTCCTCCCCACACCCTAATTCTGCCTGCTGAAAATTAGATGGCTTTCCCTGGCTGGAGCCAGCAGAAGATTCCTTTTAACACAAGTGTTAAAAGTACAGTGGTGTCAGGTAACAGTGGTTTTGAGTTCCAGCTCTGCCCCTAAGTAGCTGGAGTACCTTGGACCATCTCTTTCCTTCTCTGAGCCTCGGTTTCCTTGTCTGTAAAATGGGGTAACAACATATATGCTTCACCGGGTGGCTGTGAGGATTAACTAGATGACTCATATGTGCTGAGCCCCGTGCCTGCATGTGCTGAGGCCTTGCTGCCGTTGTGATCATAAAATAAAGGGAGGAAGCCACCTGTCCAGGTCTCCAAAGTTATCAGAGCCCCGAGGCAGTTGAATTTGCTAGTAATTAAGGGACTAGAAAGACCTTTCTCCCTTGGGTTTCAGAATGGTGCTCAAGAAAAACAAGCGTGGACAGGAACTTCTCAGTGACCATGGAATTATTCCAAAGAGGGGCTGTCTGGGCTAAACGTGTGACTCTGGGAAAGGAGAAAAAGGGGCCCCAAAGCCACTAAATCCCAGAGTTTATAATTAACAGCCACATGGTCTCTTTGCTGGCTCTGGAGCCCTCATGGCTCACTGGGGAAGGACACTAGTAGTCATACAAAAATAACCCCCCAGTGGGTTTTTGAAGTGTTGAGCCTCTTTGTGTTACTGAATTTTAATGAAGGGCTTTCCAGGCTGACTGAGAGCGGCAGGCGCACTCCCTGTGGCCGTGGCCGAGGAATGAGGCTTAGTCAGCTGCTGCCAGCCTACATGGGCATGATGCAAAGTGGCATCTAGGGGAGGCGGGCGGGGAGACATCCCTGTCCTCAGATGAGCGGCCTCAGGGAAGAAAGAGAGAAAAACAAAAACAAAAGATGTATCTGTTTAGAAAGAGGGCTGGGCTCTGTTCCAGATTATCTGTGTGGTTTGGAAACAGGCAGCGATGATGCTGGGGGGGGGGGGGGGGGGGGGGGGGGGGGGGGGGGGGGGGGGCGGGGCTAGGGATAATGGATGCCAGCCGCTACGTATGGGAAAGGTGAGAGGGGGTCCCAGGCTCCGCGAGGGAGTGCTTCTGTGGGGTGCTCCGGGCAGGCAAGCCTGCCGCTTCTGATGAGAGCTAGCATTGAGGCTCTGGGAGCCGGTGGTGGAAGGGAAGGGCACGCCTGGGGAGCCCCAGGCCCAAGCTGCAGGAAGGAGAAAGGGGGGTGCTGTGAGGACAGCCCCTAAGTCCTGCTGTGAGGAATGGGTCACCTCGGCACACCCACCTCTTGCTGTCTCCTCAGCTAGGCTGCCTGGCGGATGAAGGGGGCAGTAAAATTTCACTAAGGTAACTGAGTGAGCGCAGTGAGAAAGGTGCCTTGCCAGGCCCTCTCCGGACCCCAGGAGGGAGCGGCCTGCAGTCTCCCATACCCCTGCCTCCAGGTGCTTCTAAGTGGACAGCCACTCCCAGGAAATGCGGTGGCCCCTGTGAACCGAACGCCTTCTAGAAGGAGCCCCATTCCTCTCCCCGAGTCTAGCTTTCCCTCCTCTTTGACAGCAGGGAGCATACCTGTCAGACTGTTTAAAAGCTGCCCTCCTTCACTCTTGACGAAGCTTTCCAAGAGGCTGCTGGAAAGAAGAGGAAGAGGTGGGCCACAGAATAAAGCCATTTATTGCAATGGAATGTTCCAACATGTCTACTGAAAATAAGTATTTTTATTACAAAATATTCCATACAAAAATTCTAAGCTGCTCGCAAGCTTCGCTAGTCGAAGGCTAGTCCCGGTTTTTCCAAGTCCGAAGCGGAAACGACTCTGTGAGGGGAGAGCAGTGTGCTGACCATGAGGGCTCAAGGGCGCGCAGGCTGCCCCACGGGCTCCTCCTTCTCTGCCTGCAGCAGGTCCCACTCGGTGAGGAGCTCTGAGGACACCTCGGTGTACAGACGGTCCCAGTCCCAGCCGACGTCATCCTGCCCAGAGACGCAGCGCTGGGTAAGACGAGGGAAGGCCTCTCCCCTCGGTCACAGCCACCCCCCCAACCCCCCGCCACCCGTGGGCCTCGGGGAGGCAGAGCTCATGCTGGTCGGAGGGACGACGCGGCCCAGAGGAGGGCGCTTCCGCCGCTACTGACCTCTCGGACCTCGTGCTCTGGCGCGAGGACCTTGGTGAGGAGCTTCAGGTCAATCTCTCCATCCTGTGGATGCAAACAACCAACCAGACAAACCAGCTAGTGTTTCCCGGGGGCCCTCCAGGCACCTGTGTCTCGCAAGAGGTGGAGGGTCAGGCTGCGTGTGGTGGAACTTCCCAGCTGGAGGCCGGCAGAAAAGCCTTCAAAAGAGTAAACATGTGGATGGGCCGCGCGGCCACTGGGGAAACGGGGCACCGCAGCCTCCTACAGGCTGGACATTCTTTGCAGGAAGGCGCACACCAAGAGGGCGGGTCTGAGGGCCGCGGTGTCTGCTGATGCCAGGGGGCAGCCAGGGAGCCCGGCCCCGGGAGACACGGGACAGGCCGGGCTGCAGGGAGGCTGTAATAGCCGAGGGTAATGCCTCTGGCAAAGGGACTGTCGCCATGCAGCCCCAGAGACGCACGGAGGAGGTGCTGCCCGGAGCCCGCCCCTCTGTGCAAAAGCGGCCGCACTCACCAAGGTCTGAAAGGCTGCGTACTTCATGAGGTCATTGTCCAGGTCGCGGTAGGTCATCACCCTGTTGACCTGGATGCTGGAGGGATGAGAGAAGGTGAGGAGGAACCCCAGGCAGGGTGGGTTCCCGGCGTGCCGCCGGGCCTCCATCCCCAGAGCCTCCTAGGCAGCGAGGAAGGAGCAGAGTGGGAAGAATGCGCCTAGTAAAACAGGAATGCTGGCAGGAGCCGTCACGGGAAGCATCCCATCTCCACTGGGGGGGTGGGGGGGAGGGCAGCCCCGCTGTACTCGGTATTCGGCATGTATTAATTCACATTTCTCTGTCCCCACTGACTTAACACCCAACAGGATGTACCTGGGAGGGGCTGCCATCTGCAAGACAAAGTCTTCTTCCTGCACTTCTTCCAGGTCTGGAATAACAGGGATATCTGCAACGAGAGGAGGCAGAACTGTCGACGGCACGATTAGGGAGGGTTCTTGCCCGCCTCTCTATGGATTTACCACCTTCAGCATGCCTGCTGTTGCCAGGTGGGGCTGGGGGCCGGTGGGAGAACGGACGCTCGGACAGCCTCTGGCCTCCGGGAGTCCCCAGTCTAGGGCTGCGGTACCGAACTAGAGCTGTGCATGAAACCGAAGGTGGCCTTACACAATTTCTGAATCCCAGGCCTTCCCCCAGCCACCTGTGGCTTAGAACCTCCTGAGTGGGGCTCAGGACTCTGTACTTTTTCCTAAGATTTCTTTGGTGATCCTGATATACGCTCCAGGCTAGGAGCCCTCGGAATGGATCTCCTGAGGAGAAACGTAAAGAAATGGGAAGAGAGTCCCAGACTGTACTTGGGGAAGTTTACGTTGGAGGAGCCGGTGGATGACTCTGGCATGCCCGGAGACAGAATTCCTGAGAAGGTGGTGTCATGAGGTGGATGTCACTGTGAGCACACCGTCTCATGATCGAGGGCCACACGTGCATTAGCTCGTCGTAATCCCTGTAATCCTCACGGCCGCCATGGCCCTGAGCCTGACTCCGAAGGACATTTTTACACCTAAGGAGATGAACGGGTTCCCAGGGCTCAGTCTCCACTTGCCAGGTTCGAGGTAATAAAGAATGCCGATTCTAAAGGTGACACTTCTCTTGCTGGGTCGTGGAGATTTCCCTTCTTCAAACTCTCTGTGTGAGACAGATGTCCAGACACAGGAGGAGACAGGAGGCCATCTCATTCATGAGTCAAACAGAGTCACGCAAGCAGAGAAGCGGAGAGAAGCAAGCGGTGACTTGCCGAAAACAGCCCATCTTGTCATGGGGACAACCTAACGCCCTAAAGAAGTGTCTTCTTTTCCAAATGAGCATCACTCACTGACTGGATGAGGGGTTTTCTTTGTTTCAAGCGGTCAGAGTGAAAAAAAGAGGGGGAAGGGCAGGACAAAAGGCCAAGTGGAGAGGCCCAATCCTAGAATTTCCAATCCGACTGCGAGCATTACAAGGAGGAAAACATTCCAGCGAGGACAGAATAGTGAAGAAACCCTTTGTGTTTGCTCTCATGGACTGAATTCGATTTTATGTTTAAGAGAGATGCCGAGGCATTTCAAGAACGGGGAAAGACCCTTCGGCCACTTCCAGGCTATTCATTATTTAGACTCTGCAATTGCTCTAGTCCAGCTAAGCCTGAGTGTATAAATGTCAGCTCTGAGCCTTGTGTCTTTATTACCGTCTCCGACGGCGGAGTTACAGATGCCAAACCTGGTAAGAGAGGGAGGAGGTATGCGAGGGAGAAACAGAGGCACAGAAAATAAGACCATGAGAGAAAGAGAGCGGTTACAAAGATAAGGAGAGCTTTGGAAAAGGAATGGCCGAAAGGGAAATAAAGCACACTTGCACACCACCCCCAAAACAGTGGCCTGTGTTCAGCAAGTCCTCTGTCCAGAAAGCAGCTGTGGAGGGCTTAGATTCTATCTCTCCGTCCTGCTGAAGAATTAGACATGGAGTCCTCTAAGATTCTATCTCTAATGCTAATAGGAATTCAGCCTTCTTGTTCCCTCTCGCTCTGCGTGATTAATACCGTCCACGGTGAGAGCCGCTGACAGCGCTGTCCCTGAGCCTGGGCCGAGCGGCGGGGCAGGGAGGAGGCTGGCTGTGCCATGTGCCATCAGCACCGTGACAATTTTGGAGCAAGCCAGTTAGCTGTGCCTGGCTCGCCTCCGGTGTGGAGTCCAGCCTGAGATGAATATTCAGAAGGTGGTAAGAGGAGGCCCCACGCTGGGCTTAGGGCTCAGGACGGTGTCTTCCCAAAGTCCCCTCTCCCTCCACAGCGTTAGCATTTGGGTCCTGTCAGCTCTGCCCAGCCCCTCCCGGCTCTGAGGAACCGTACTTCTGCCCAATGTCCACTCCGACCCCTCCTGGGCTTCCCTCCTCATCCCCGCCCCCCCTCCTCCACATGCGCACGAAGGAGTGTGGGGCTGGCCCATCTGTGACAGATCAGAGGTCAGCCCGGGCCTTGGCGAAGGGGCCTCTCAGAGTGGCACTGGTGAGGCTGGCCACACAGTGGGATTTCTCTCTAATTGGAAGCCTGGTGCCCAACAGAACCCGGTGAACCGCCTGAGTGGGACAGCGCCAGCGATGACAGCCAGGCCAAGGCAAGCTGGAACATTCCGGTGCGGTGACAGCTTGAGCCGTCGCAGCAGAGTCGGGCCGTCCAACTCCCGGCCCCCATGGAACAGGTGGCCGTGGAGCGGGTTTTGGGCAAACTTCAAAGAACTTCACAATTTTACGGTTCCTGATGTGCTGTCACAGTCAAGTGTATGTAATTTGTTCTTGGGAATGTTTGTTCTGCCTCTCTCCTTCCCACCCCACCTTCCCCACCTCTCACCTAGACAATTTCAGAAAATGGACTTGAGAAATCTGCTTCTTTGCAAAATTACATACAGGGAATTCTCAGTCAGGGCTGCTTCGCCTGCAGGTCTGGACCGATGACCCAGTCTGGTTCGGGACCTCAAGTTTAACTCTCAGAATGTTACTAATGGAACACTGTTTATCAGCTGTGCTCAAATAAAAAGAATTAATAAAGTAGAAAGCTCACGATTTTAACAGAGGCAGTAAGAGGGCTCTAGGGGTCTGCTCTAGCACTGCTGAAAACCTATGCTACTTTGAAAAATGTAATGGTTCTATTAACTTTATTCTCCTGTTCTTCTATGCTGCTAAGAAGAACCTGAATAGAAACAGTGAGTGGGTTAAGAACGTGGGGAGGAAGTCCATCTCGTGGTTAAGACGTGGGCTCTTGAGGCAGGCCGGCCGGCTGCCTCACCTCCCCGCTGTGTGCCTCTCCTCTGTGCCTCAGTTGTTTCCTCTGTAGAATGGGGAATTACACCTACCACATATGGTGGCTATAAGCATCAAATGCAATCATCTTTACAAAGTGCTGAACACTGTGCTCGCTGCATAATAAACAGTCTAGAACCATTCTTATTCATTTAACAGATAAAGTGTTGAGCCTGGAGAGAAACTCTATGCTCTACCTTCATCTTCTCATTTACTCTTGCCCATTTTGCAGGTGGGAACAGTGAGGCTCAGGAAGATTAAGCAGTTGGCACAAGATCATCAATGACAGTGCCAGGCTTCTAGCTCCCATCCAACTACAACCCGTGAGCTCATCCTCGCCCACTCGTGCTTTCTTGGCAAATGAATGGTGCCTTCAAAGGCACTCCTAGAGCGGAGTCTGGACAGCTTTTACTCTAAGACTCAACGTCCTCTGTTCTGGGTAGTTCTCTTGATTCCAATCACTACAAATAAGCTAAGTCTCTCCCTCACCATATGCCCTGGCTTGCTACTTCCCTCCAGCAAGGCCAAATGGAAAGGAATGGAAAGAGCACACTGACGCTGGAGCCCTGGGGACTCCTCCCTGCGGCCCGCTTATTAAGCTTGCCTCATGGAGGTCGCTGAGCACCTTGAACAGTCTCAGAAAAAGGGGAGCAAGGCAGGAGGGCTCTGAAGCCTCCAAGTGCCAGAATAGGGGCCCTCATCCTTCATCCCACCCAGACTGCCGCCCACACACAGGCCACCATTACGTGCTTCTCTCCTTCCCAGCTCCGACTGCTTAAACTGAACGGGTTTTCTTTGCTCTTTGCACTTGCTCCCCGCCTCTCCTGTTGGCCTTCTCTCCTGCTTATTCAACCTGCCTGTCTGCCCTACGTGTCACCCGGTTAGCCACACGTGGGGAAACTGCATTTGTCAGCTTATTCGTTCATCCGTCCATCCATTCAAGGAACACTGCCTGAGCATCTGCTATCTGAAAGGTGCCACGCCACGCAGTGCCAGTAACGACAGCCGATTAAACAGTCCTTGTCTTCCTGGAGTGCTGGAAAATGCCAGGGCCGAAACAACTAATTGTCTTATTTTCTTAATGTAAAATATCATACGTGGTAACAATCTGAATGCGCCAGAAAAGCCTAAAAGGAAAAAATCTTCCTTTTCTCACGTGAGCCCAGTCTGTCTCCCTAGAGGGGCTATTAACAATTTCTCGTATTTACTGAAAAGAACGCACGCATACCGCAGCATGTATGTCCTTTAAAAAATGTTTCCGAGCGGGATCACTTCACACACACATTGTTCTGCAACTTGCTTTCTCTTCTCTTATCAATAAGTGTACTGAGAAATCTTATTCTTTTAAATGGCCACCTAGGATTCTATTGAGTGGGTACCCCATAATGTATTTAATCTGGTTCAGAGAAGATCTCATTTAGAACTTTGGAAGGTGGGGTGGGGAGTTGGGGAAGGTCTCTGAATTAGGGACGATGCAGCTCAAAGCCGGAGGACAGACAGGATTAAAGCAGGCAGGGGCGGCAGGCACAAAGGCGCTGTGAGGTGAGAAGTATCTCACGGCACTGAGAAAAGTGGAAAAAGACCAGTGTGGTCGGCCCAGGGGCCGGGGGAGAGTGAGGTGGGGTGGGGCAGGGGAGAGGGCACCCGGTGCCAGGTGAGGAAGGATCTGCATCAACCAGCCAGGAGACACGGACTGGGTGTCTGCCATACACAAGACCCTTCTAGGGCACATGAGGGGAAAACCAAGATTGATGAAGCATAGCGAAGTGGCAAAGGAGGGACCATACATTAAAAAAATAATCATACAAGCAGAATCAGGAAAATGTACATCCCTTCCTTTGTGACTCACCTTGGAATCCAACAAGTAGAGGCCACGAGGGGTAGACCTCACTACCTTGTAGTGGGTAGAATACGGGAAATTTGTCTTAGGTCTGCCCCCTAGATGGCCCACTAGCAGAGGGCGGAGAGCAGGTCCCAGTCACTTCTGCATTCCCAAGGACCAGCAAACCAAGGGACAACTGAACAGAACTGAATCAACAGATTCTCCTCCAATCTGAAAGTCACTTACAGGGAAGAGCCACGTCGATCTGTTTCGTTCCAATTAAAGCCTAAGTGCTA